AAAAAAAAAACCCCAAGGGGGGGGGGGGAAACCCCCCTGTAAAACCCCCCCCCCCCCCCCCCCAACCGGCAAAATAAACCCCAGTAATTTTCTACCCAAATTGTTCTGTACCAATGCCTCATATTAAAGACCCTACCTATCACCCACAGAAGGATCATCCATTCTATAATGGTAGGGGGAGCACCACGGATCTCCCCAAGCTGTAGGCTACTGCTTGCCTTGCTCTCCCCCCATAATGTAATGCTGTCAATGGATTCTATGTGTTGGGAGGCGAGGATTAACAAAACTGAAAAAGAAAACTCTATAAAGTTATCGTTAAAACCTGGAAGAGACATCCGAAATCTAAACATGCTTACTCCCTTGTTTTTAACAGCCACAAGGCAAGCAGAATAGCTTCATAATTAGTTCTTTTCAAGAAGGAAAACACTGCTCTGAAACACAGAGAACCTTCTTAATTCACTTTAACTTACGTTTTATACAGAATCCAATTAAGGATTTTTGAAAAACCTGTTACATCTTTTCACAAGTTGCAGGATGAAAAGCATTATTTTTAAGCAGATACTAAACCTTTTCAATGTCAAGAAACTTTGCAATATCTTCTCACCAAAAACCTTTTGGAGAGATATACACAAACAAGGGTAAATACATCAAACATTTTCATGCTACACACTAGATCAGAATGATAAATGTTAATATTTCACGTTTATGAAACAGAATATAAATTTCGAGACCATTGGCTCATAACCACAAACTGCTACAATTAAATTCCTGTTTTGAGGAAGATAAATGGGGTCTTCAAGTAGATAACTTAGAATCTTTGGCCACATTCACAACCAAAGTTGATCCATGGACTAACAGATCTGCAGATCAATATGGCTGACCCACCTTAAAGCTTACTGGGTAATCCCTGCGGGGGAATTGATTCAGTGTCTATTATAGGATTTTCACAGCATGCTTTCAAGTTGGTTAGCTGTATTTGATTTGATCTGAATGCGCCTTTGACAAGCATAATCATGCCATTCAAGATGGCATTTGATAATTAAACGCCAAATATTTATATTAACAGTAATGATACCATTTTCCCCCAATTTGCCAAATGCCAGCTACATAAATCTTTCCTTTAAAAACCTAATACAGGTTTATCAAGAAATGAGAACCAAGATCAATACAATACACGTCTTTATTTCCAACTGATGACGGCAATAACCTTGCATATTATGTAATTACAAAAACATTCAATATCTATTTCCTTTACTATGGACAAACTCATCAATCAACAGTCACACCAAATTAATCATGATGAAACAGCTTTTCTGCTGAATACTTACACAAAAATGTGAAATAGGAGGAGCTATGACATATAAACTTGACAAATGGCTTCCGAAGAAGTTTTCCCAAAGAACTTTTCGGCACCATGATGTAGATTAATGACCACAATGGAAACAGCATGCCGATGACCGAGGTCATGATAACCTTGAAGGCAATATGGCGCCTGCGGAAACCAGGTAAACCTTCATACCACAGCGACGCTAAGAGTTGCTGGCAATTTGAATGTGCTACAAACTGAAATTAAAAAAATAAAAATGTGAAAAATCAAAAAGTGATCAAACAATAAAATGTGCATTTCTAAATGTCATTTTATATATTATGTGCTGTGAGGGCATGTTCTCTGGGCAATTGACTGAATTAAATCTATTCACATGCAGCTAAAAGGAGAAATAAATTTAACAAGTGCAAGTGAGGTGCCCATGATAATATTTATCTTGTTTCACTGATGCACCCCAGAAAGTAACCATATATCTCCAATCAAAGTCATAAACAGAGATTCTGACAGGATCAAGAGTCAATTGATACTCAATTTGAAAAGGGTAACAAATTCAGTTTTAACACGTCTGTGAGGCGACAACAACCATTTATCTTGATTTAAAGGGCTCAAAGGGGACCCAAGGGATGCATAAATCCACCTTAACAAGCATCCAATGTCTGTGAAATGGTAAAATAACACTATCAGCAACAACCAAAACCACAATATCGGGTATTAAAACAGTGCACGTGACAAACAGACTTCATTTACTCTGATAAATGGCAAGAAAAAAGATAAATCAGGGGCTATACAGAAAAAAACCTAACCTTAAAAGATGTTTTGATGATCGTGAAATGTATTTGGGATAGCAGAGACAGCCCATTAGCTCAGTATAAGACATAAAATTGAGCAATAACTAAACTGTGATATTCCCAATAGGACAATTACCTTGCCTTCGTTTATCTCTACTTTTTTAAAACAAGTGAATACACTGAAACGTGATGTGAACAAACAAACAAACAAAAAAAAATTCAAATGAATTTGTATCAAAGTGCATTGCAGACCCATAGCCAAGGCAGAAAAGAGATAAGGCAAATCATCATTGTGTTATCACATTGAATTCACAATATCGTTAATGTAAGCTACAACTTGATTTTCAGCGTATTATTAATCAATGTTTAACTATTTATCATAAATCAGACAACCTTTGTGATGTTTTCAAGGCTTTGCAGTGTTGGTGAAATACATGTCACAAATGAAGAAAATATTAATCGTCATCTTGCTGACTCTCACTAGCAAAGAACTTTTTGCAAATGGAGAATAACAATTAAAGGTTAATAATATGTACTATATGTTTTTTGAAAGTGTCCAGAAGTCATACTCATATTTTAATGTATCAATATCTCACCCTAAAATATGAGAACAAACTAACATAAAATGATAGGAAGACATGGCTATCTAAATATCTGGCCAGTCATTTAGAAGTAAATTTAATTAGAAATGGAACAAAACATCAAATCCAATATGCAGAAATATGTCAAACAATTGAAAATAAATGTTTTTGGGATAAAATCCTACATACTATTAGTATACTTTTGATTAGCTGAAGAAACAAAAATATTTCATTGTTCTTTCATTATTTAGTAACACTCATATCGCTAAAAGTATTTGGCTATTACAAATTTTAGCTATATTTAGCATAATAGTAAATTGACACATCGGAACAATTATAACACCTTCAGTGTGATCATCTAACCCAAGTTAATGGATACTGGTGGTACATTTCAATTAAGCATTGGGTTTATCTCATGCCTCGAGCTCCCACAGGGCAATTCAATCATACTCGGATCCATCAAACCCTTAGTTTTCATCTATATTTCGTATATTATCTCCTGGTTTCTAATACTAGTATGACACTTCAAGTTGCATCAGCATTAAATAGGAAAGAATTGTAATACATTCAGATCAACTCAGAGTGGAAATTCCATGCTGCCCAAGGGAGTAATGACCTTGAAACATATACCAAACTACTTGTAATATGCCATTTATGATTTGTTAGTTATAGCCAGAGTTTTTTTTTTTTTTTTTTTTT